AAAGTTCAACTAGCCACATAACCCTGAACGGTTCAGGGCATAACCGCCAACAGTCGCGATAGCAGTACCTATATACATAAACTCGCCTGAACCGCGCTACTTTTCATCGGAAAGACCCGCACCAGGTTTTGAAGCCCCAAAACGTTCAGACTAATCAGATGGGTAGTGAAGTTCTCAACCAAAATACCTCGCACATACCATGTGTATTCTTCCTGAGCTGTTGAGACGCGTGAGCAATTGCTGATTGCGGTCATCGCTTCCTGAATTCATGAAGATTACTTTAGTATGTTTACAGTACTCTACATAATTCGACCTACCCTCATTCTGAAGCATACTAGACCCATAATGACTTCACCAACGATCTCAAAGACCGGATCAGATCGCAGCAACAACTCCATCCTTTTCGCCAAGCGGACATGCTGTAATCCTGATATTATTGAAACAAAGTGCCACAATTCAAAACAGTTCACCTCTCGGATGTAGTTTTGAAGACCTTCCACACCGTAGGAGCGGATCACGAACCACAGCTTCAGCGAACGAAACCGTCTGCTCAGAGGAATTCCCCAGTGACGATAGTCGATCGATTTATCTAGAACTTGCGGTATGAAATTACACCAAAGTGAGATAATTGCGATTCTTTGATTGGTACTTTATAAAAGATCAAAGATAGAGTGAAACTACACTGGTGTGCAAAACTTAGGGACGAACGTAGCTTTTCCAACGACGTGTTACTGGCGCGTAACATGACTCTATGGAACCTAACCACACATACAAAGAGCTGCCACAGGGCACTAAAGAAAGCAGTTAACAGGAACCGTTAAACGGTCCACAAAGCTATCAAAAGGTTATGATACTTCATCTGTCTCGTCCTTAAGTTTTGCACACCAGTGTATATTGGCGGCAGGGCGCACAGAAGCTCAAACTATGAAAAGGCAACGAATGGGAGGAGGAAAACCGGCGGGATAAGGGGACGTAGTGCTGAATTCCGCAGACCAAAAGGATGGTGAAGTTTTGAATAATACCTCGGCGACCTAACAGAAAGGCATAATGACAGAAACTTATGGTCGAGCTATACGGATCATTTTAAACACTCATTCAGCACAAAAAGAAGAATTTAAATCGCCTTGAGATATACGCTGTCGTTCTCCCCTCCTTTCGAGTACTAATTAAGATAGTGAATAAAAAAAGGAGAAAACGATCGAGCGGCGATACTTGACAACTCACCCATCCAACTGTGTTGCAGATATAGCGGATCCACGACAAGGGCTTGTGTCAGCTTGAAACGATCCTTGACCCTAGAAATAGCATTTTCTTATCTTTCTCCTTCACACCTATTATAAGTGTTGAACTGCTATTTTATCAATGATCTTTTTGCCCTAGATCGAATTATGTAAGCTTCTCCAAATAAATAGAATAAATGGCACAATGTGGCTCCGGGGGGGGGGTGGGAGGGAGAACTGGTAACATTGCGGTCAGATTAACAGAAACGCTCAGTTTTAGGACTAATTAGCCTCAGAAGAGAAGAGGCAATCCGAAGTGCGTATGCGATTCCCTTTCTCTCTGAAATTTGTCCCTCTCCGTTAGGCTTAGTCCTAGTAGGCCTTCCCACAGACTGCCCCCTCTCCCCCCCCCGGGGGCACAATGCCCCGAATAGATCAACTTCATGTCTTTGCTAGGCAACAGTGGCAATATTGGTCACTTACCACATCGTACTGCAGTCAAAATTGACCAGCATCCATTTATTAGGATTGGTGTTGAAGGACATGGCGTATTCGATGCCATTCATCAGATGACGAAACTCTGGACATATCATCGCCGAACCGGCATAGGCGGCATCTACATGGAGCCAGAGCCTGAAATTCAGAGCAAAATGTACCCTTTTGAACGCGAATACAAGCCTACAAATGCACTTACTCGTTCTCCTGACACACTGGCCCGATC